CAACAAAATCAATCTTTGGTAATATCACTGGTGATGCTCAAACTACAGAAATAACTGTTAAAGTAAATTAAAATCACACAGACCTAAACTAAAGAAAAAACCCAACCATATATTTAACTAATAAAAGTATCATAGTAAGGCCTAACATTGCACAGTGATGCAATTTGTTTAGTGTACGGTGGATAAATACATAACACAGAATAATATTAGATAGGCTAGTACCTTTGCTAGAAAGAACGCATTTCCGCTCGTCCTTCGCATACCTGTGGGGCAGTAATAATCACAAACTTGATATTTATTAAAGTATAAACGATGAGTGTAATTGTGATAATAACAATTTATATTTTCGTAGACTGTTTTCAACTCGAAGATCCGGTGTGGATACGGTCTATGGCTCAGTTAAAAAAAAAAAAGTTGTTTAGTATTTTATCGAAAGATCAGAAGATAAGACCCAGTGGAGACGTTAGTTACAGAATAGTGGACACGGTCAGAAATACGCAAGCGGTGTAACAATAGAAAAAGTTTAAAGCTGAAAAAGTACCGCGATAAGCGCATGTCAAACTATGTCGTTATACCATTTTGTACATCCATGGTCAAACCATAAAGTATTTTCTCTACGGTCAAACCATCTTCTTCTAGTAGATACGGTCTGAAATACGCAAGCGGTGTAACAATAGAAATGTTTAAATATAAAAAAGTACAAGTGCATGTCAAACTATGCCGTTACCTTTTTCGAAAGGCATTGACTGAACCATGGAGTAGGCCTATCAATGGCTGAACTATATGGTCCCCATTGTCCTTGCATCATCCATATAGGGCGCCTGTGCAAGAACAGGCTGTCGATTCCTGGATACAGATAAAACATGGAGGTATAATGTTAAAGGTTGGGTAATTTTCCGAACAACTCTCACGGGAGATGATCAATAATTGAAAAGGCTATCGTAAAAGCAGTTAAACTATCATTAAGATTTTACCAAGCGTGAGGAGACATGTTTCATAACACGCTGAACTATTTTCTTGATCAAATTATATCGAAGGATTTACCGAGGTTTGGCAAAATGAAGAGTTCATGAGACGCATCTGGAGCCAATGTATGCAGTAAATATGTACTAAAACTAAAATAGTATCTTACTTAATTGCTTACGCCGGCGGTAAGAAACATGGAGGTATGAAATACGAACGAAAACTCGAACCCGATATAAGATTAACCGCGAGTGTTCGTTAGTAATTCATCTCTGAGACGACTCTGTGCTGATGTCATCTCTCCATTTTATTGTTTCATTAGCATGGTTCATTCCTCAATTCTGTTATAAAAAACGTATGAGGCCTACACTTTTTTTTATATAAGAACCAGTAAAATTTTGCCCAGACTCAGTGTTCTTATTTTTTGGCCGATTTCAGGCTCAAAATGTTCTTATTTTGTTCTTATTTTACATACTTCCCAAAGATAGAAATTTGTTACTGTACAGCGGTATATTGCTGTACTGCATTTTTTAGGGTATTACATAAACATGACTACTGCACATTACGTGAAGATTTGTTGGTTTTTCTATAAAAACCTCTTCTAACATTTTACCTCGGCCTCAATTTGTTCTTATTTTGTTCTTAATTTTCAAGCAACATTATCATTTTTATGGTTCCTCACTGGTTAATTAATATTGTTTATGCGTTTAATTAAAAGGAACAACTTTAAAAATTATGCATGTTATCTGCATATTTTATCGTTATATTAAAAAAAATATTGATTGTCTGCTCCTTTTCAACCCACCTACTTCTCGGAGGACAATGACCACAAATAATATTTCAAAAAAGATTCAACGATGATAATAATAGTGAGTCATACAAC